GCCCAACGGGACAGCAGGAGGGGGCAGGGTTGAGGCCGGGGAGGGGGAATCTCGTTCCTCCGAGCTGGCAGGGACTGGAGAAAAGGAAAAGAGAGAGGAGGGATGAGGCTGGAGCTGTGGAAAGCTGCAGGGATGTAATGGAACCAGAATTTTGTTTTCCAAATATCAGGGGTGAAAGGAAGCACTGTGAAACTGGTCATGGAAGAGAAAGGAGAAATGGCAAGTGATGGAACTCGACTCAATTTATCCTCCTGGACTGCAAAAGCTGACAGACACCGAGCGCCCACGGACACCTGTCACATCGCAAAGGATCAGAGCTGCGGCTGGCGGGGCTAGAAGCACCATCCAGCAGCTCTGCTCCCACCCTTCGAACCTCGGGCTGGACCGTGGGATCTGGGACATAATCCTGTGCTGGGGGCATAGAGCCGCTGCTGGGGGCATCCATCGCTGTGTCCAGGGGATCCTTTATGCCTCTCGTGCAGCTCCAAGCTCCTGAGGGCTTCCCGAACGTTTCTGTGGCTGTTCCTCCTCCCCAAATCTGTCGGGTTTAATATCAAAGTGCAGCACTCCCGTGCCCTGCGGCAGCAGCCGTTACCGGGACACAGCCCCGGGAGCTGCGCGGATGCCCGGCCCTGCTCAGGAGGGAGCGACAGGAGGGGCGTTCGTAAGGTTTTCCCCGCGTCCCTCGCTACGCACGACGAGGTTTTTTAGTGCATGGGAGAGAATTCCCAGGGTTTCTGGGCTCCGTGGGGCGGAAGCAGCGGCAGCGGGACCCGTGGGATCCGGCCCGTGCGGGCGGCCAGGGTTGAAAAGTGTGCGGGGGCCCCAGCGCGGTGCCCGAGGGCTGAGCGGGGCTGGCTGGGACCACCCCGCTCGTCTCCGCCGCTCGAAGCCCCTTCCCCAGCTCCGGCTGCCGCGGCCGCCCGGCCGGGTCGCCGCTCGTCGCGCAGCTGGAGGAGGTCGATCCCGGCCGCGCCCCGCCCATCCCTCGCTGCGGCTCTTTCGGTGGGTGACACGCAGTGGCCGAGACCCGTGCAGTCGTTGGCAGCAGCCACTCCCGGTGCGTGTCTTTTAGGATTTTTATTCTAATATAATTTGAGCTTTTTAAAAAAATGGTAGTTTTTTTCTAATCGCTATATTTTATTCAATTCACACCTCCCCATCCCACGCTCCTCCGGTGCGGCTCTTTCACCGCCGCCGCTCCTGCCGGCCTCTCGGCGTAGCTTCTTCAGTGACACAGGGAAGCGGAGACGCCCCTCGGTGCGGCTCTTTTCTATTTTATTTTATCTGAATTTTTTTCGTTCCCATCTCGCCCGTCCCGCGGAGAGGCTCCTTCAGCGATCCGGGGCGGCACAAACCCCTCGGAGCGGCTCCAAAGGGCCCCGCCCGCGGCCGCTCCCCGAGGCCTCCCCGCCGCTCCCGTGGATCGGACACCGCAGGCGGCCCCGACCCCTTCTCGGGTTCTTCTTCCTCATGCCGAGATTCAGCCCCCGCAGCCGCCCGGCTCCTTCTGCCGCTCCTGCACGACACCTACCGGAGCTGCCGGGGACGGGGCTGG